CCCTAGTTAAGAATAAATTTGATTGAAACGCATGTTAATCTAGCCCACGTTTTAGAACTAAAAACTAGAGAAAAATCATGGACATTTTGTGAGTTTTTAATCTGGTTATGCCTTTTTTATTTTGTATTATAGGAAAGTGAAGGGAGGGAATATTGATGTACATCCATCAGAAAAAGCACTCATTGTTCAATATGAAGTGGAAGCTACCATTCTTGGAGAAATGGGGGATCCCATGTTGGGAGAACGAAAGGAATGCCAAAAAATGTAAGTTTTCATTTGTGCACATTTTTAAAGTAGTATACAAACTTGATACAAATTTGATGTTATTTTAATCTGCGTAGAAAGTGATTATGGCATTCTTCCTGACATCATTTTAGTGAAGGAGAGGTTGTATTAAACTATAAATATGTAGTAGACTTACTCCAGAGAAAATAAGATTTTTGTAAGCATAATGGGAACCTGTTGAAACACATCTATACTGATTTATACTACATAGTAAATGTATATAACAGAATAAAAACTATTAACTTTTGAAATCAATCATAACAGATATGTTTCNGTGCTATGACTTTCAGGAACCCCCAAATGGGCACAGACCTCAAATTCATCCCTTGAAAGGCTAGTCCTCTGAAAAACAGTAGTAATAAGACAAGCATTTTCTGACTCAGGGGATTGGTCTTAGATCTCCCTGTATCCTATCACACTTCTTGATTTTGCAATACTTTCAGGAGTCCCTTAGGGAACTGGCCTTTTTCCTTATCCCGCAGTTGTGCTGGTGATTAGTTTGCCTTCCTTTCATAGTTTTGCAGAAGTAGAGAAGTAGTTTTTAGTTCTTGAGGATGCAGTCAGTAGCCTTATTCAACTAGAATTCAATGAGTATATTATTGTTATTGTGTGAAAATCTGAAGCCTTTTTAGACAAGGGATACATTCAGTAGAGATAATAAAGAATTAACCACCTGGAAAGAGTTACTACCACACTGTCATGGAGCTAGAGTAAGTGGTTTTAAGCTTTAGTAAGGGAAACCCTGATTACCTCAACCTGTGATACTCAACCCTGGCTGCACAAGATTTGGAGAGGAGTCATATTGTGGGACCAAAAGAAAAACATGGTTTGTTGATTTAAGAGGTTTTATCAGTGGTGAGGAGGGAAACCTCATATAGATTGAGGTAGGTATGAAATGAAACTGTCATTAAATTGGACTAGTCAGTGGTATGGCCCAGAGCTAGAAGACTTATGTTTAGTTTTCTAGTATTGGGAAAAGGAACATACAAGCCCATCCTCAGCAGAGTTACAGTTTTCTGAAAAATTTATGAGAAACCCAAACCCATGAAAACTTTATGAAAAGCCCACCCTACCTATGTTTTCCTTGTCTTTTATAATAAATGAAAGATTTAGAAGAGATACTATCCACTAAAAGTAGGAAATCTGTCTATTACCCTGGATGGAAAGAAGGTGAATGAGATTGCTAACATATACATTGGTAGAAAATAGATCTAAAAAAAAGATTGAAAAGCCTGTTTACATTAAAGCAACAAGATACCATTACACATCTATTAGAATGGCTAAAATCCTGAACACTGACAATACCAAATGCTGACAAGTATTGTGGAACAACAGGAACTCTCATTTATAGCTGGTGGGAAAGCAAAATGATATATATTTTGGAAGACAGTTTGGCAGTTTCTTACAG